CATGTTGGCTCGGTTTAGAAAGGTGGCCCCTTTCGTACGAGGATGAGAAAAAAACATCCGAGTAAGGCACGGCAAAGTTGACCACGAGCTTTGACCATGAGCCGTCATGTGAACATCTACAAATATCTACAGTGTATTTAACTTCCTTTGCGCTGTATTGAACTCAGATGCGGACAGTACATTACCACAATACTGACATCGACTGACACTTGGCTCAAGCACAGAAGGTCGCACGACCACTTTGCCCTTTGGTTGCTTGAAAATCCCCGTTACATTGTCGAAGAGCATGTCAGCTGGTCATCAGCCGTCCTCACACTGGGTTGTTGAGACCGAGAGTGATTGTGAGAACTTAGAGGTAGACGAGTTGTGTTTTGAGACTTGAGATTGTTTCCAACATCTTCAGGAGTGACTTTGAAATTCCCCTCGAAGGCATGAAGGTCATTACATAACCGAGCAAACAACATCCGCCCAGCATCTCCACGATTTAGCGCAGGGTCCATGGCCGTGTTGAGATAGAGATCGAGACCTCATTGAAGCGAAGCGTTGCTGGTAAGCCTAAGCTTGAATCCTTTCAGGGGGAGATCTGCTTGAACCATCAGGCCCACCCCCATCGAGGAGTATGAGGACACGATCAGTCACACCAAAGGTCGTCCGAGAGGAGTAGCGATCTTGGAAGAGAGTCGGGATGTGGAAGAAAAACAGAGGGTGAACAAGACTCTGACTCTGACCCTTCGATCACCTCTTGCTGCGTCGACTCCTGACTCGCAAAGGAAATCACCCTGAGCAGGTATGTTCGTTGACGTGCTTCTTAGAGTGTTGTTTGCGTTGACGTGTGCACAGGCTCATTCAAGCGGATAGTTCAAACCCAAGACCGACAGTCTTTGGCAACCTGTAGCCGTTGGGGCCTATGGTGCTGATGGAGGAGCTTCGTCTGCTTCACTGCGTTGAACTTCTCTGCAGTCTTTGGATCAGTCAACCGGAGGGCGTTTTAAAGTGAACTTCTTCCGAGACTTGCTCGGAGTTGACCCTAGCGCTGCCTGTCGCCTATTGTGCAGGAGCGGCCAATGGCTGTGGACTCAAAGCAACCTGTGATGGTCGTAGGTCAAAAGTACAGTTGGGAATCGTCCCAACAAAGCTCAATGGGGCATTCAGGCTTGAAAGCGTTTGATGCTGTCTCAACTTCACTAGGTTGGCACTTGCCCCTGGCGTTCATCCGACCATCAGGGACATTCCACCAGCAACAGGATCCAGGTCTTCAGGTGCAGCTGTGGCTGGCTGGTGGGTTTGCGTTTTGCGCGTTCAGCTTGGCTTACGCAATCCATCGCTGCTTGGGACAATCCGCGTCTTGAGCGCGTTAGACAAAGCACGATTTGGCGCCAGTAGGGAGAAATGGCATGGTGCAGCTGTGAACGAGAGTCACACTTGCCCCAGTTGGTTGATTGGCGCTGCTAGATCGGTGAACTCTCCTTTGGCACATCTTCTTCCAACCCGATGGAGCCATCGCTGCAGCATAGGCTCAGGACATAAAGGGGGACGCAGCAGGACAGAAAGCGGAAACACTGGACCTAGAGTGGCCGCTCTTCGTTTTGGAGGTGATCCAGGCAGAGGTTCGCAAGCGCATCACTATGAACACCACAAGCACTAAGACGAGCTGGCAAGGGATTACATCAGAGCTAAGGGTGCAGGGACATGTTCATCAGTTGAAGGTGATCACCCAAGAACGACAATGCAAAAGAATTGGGACCTCCCAATTCTTTAACAAACGACAACTTCAAGAAGACCTGATCGGATTGAGCTGAAGCTCGTGAACATGTTGGCGTAGTTTCAAATTGCTTGATGCCCACAGTTGGCAGTGCTACGGACCCTTCTGAACCACCTAACCACCTGGCCTCCTCCACAGCCACTGGTAGACGCGGCGTTCCAGCGTTGTGTTCAAACAGCTGGCACCTTTCTCTTTAGTTTGCTTCTTCACTTGCTTTGGCATGAAGCGTGGAGCATTTCAATTAGCCCCAAGCTGCATCAATGCACTGCGTGCCTGCAACCTCTGCTCTTGTCCTGTGCAGGCCAGAATCGAACGAGGGTCCAAGGTGCAGCGCAAGGTGAAGTCCAAAACGGGATCTCGGGGAAACGAATGCAAATCAGAAGGTTGTCGGGGTAAGAGACAGTGGAAAAGAAAGAGACCAAACAGGATCAGACGGAGGAGGGTCACGGACCAAACGCAACAAAATCACACACAAAAGAAACAGCAACGTGCGATCAACGGAGAGTCTCATGAGCAAAAAGCTGCAAGCCAATGTGCGCACATGGACGACATGAGCGTCTTCTGAAAACGAAAAAAATAAGTAAGTACCCTCTACCGACAACGGACAAAAATACGCCCTTTCGCCCCCAGAAAACTCCTCATACTGGAATGGTTCATTGGGTTTTCACACATCAGCCACAGCCGCCCGAAAGCGTTATGGGCAACTACATCCTGCATGGGTTGAAGCAAACAAACAGTCTTGCTCTTGCAACGCTGTTCCAATGGCTGAATTGAAACATCAAAGATGTCAAAGAAGAGAACCTTTGTGTGGTTGCGTGCCCAAATCGTTGAAGAACTACAATATCCTCAAAGGGCTCAAGGGCATGCCCAACATCCAACGCTCGCAGGCCTTGAGAGCCGGATCACCAGGGAGGACAAACCAGACCAAGTACCGCGGTCGCTGAGGACAAGGTAAGGGCAAGGGTAGGATTGCGTTTGCCATGCACGCTGCAGGACATTGCGGCTTTGGCTCACGTTCTCGGAATAAGCATGTTGGCGACGCTGGTAGCAATGCCGCAAAGAAGGCATACATCAAGGCGCAGGAGGACAAAGCAGGTGCCAAGAACGTGCAGGCAAAGGACGACAAAGGAAAGGTAAAGGCCGCAAAGGGGAAGCAGCAGCTGCGGCAATAGTAGTCATCACTGAGGCCCAGGCTTATGAGTTAGACCCGAAGGTCAGCATCCCAATCTTGGCGGCGTCGGTAGTGAACTCCATCGTAGATGGCACGCAGAACCCTGGTTTGGACAAAGTTGAGTAGTTCTGGAACTTGTCGCTTGAGTTCATTGGAAAAAAAGCTGCATGACATGATATAGGATCGTTCATGGTGTTATCAGATCAGGGCCTTGATTGCCAAATGCTTGAACCGTGGCTCAAGCGTTTGGATAATCCTATCATCAGTTTTTCCACTGGAGGAGGACCACAAACATCATCGGAGGTGCTTCGGATCTACGCCCAGAGCATCGGCGACTTGAACCTTCACTTGCTCAAGAACTGCTGCAGACTATAGAGATGTCCGTTGGTCAGGAGGCAAGTAAAGGCCGCGCTCTCGTCTGGGAGCACGGCAAGGTACTGTTCATCGCCTTAGACCATCGGAAGTGCAGAGTGTGGCTGGAGATGCTCAGAAGCATGTTTTTGTGATGACTGTCTTGAACGTTTACCTGCATGCATTTGCGCGGAATACCTTAGTGATGACGAGCAGGAAGAACGAAAAATGAGCCTTCCGCTGCTGTTAGCGCTAGAAGGGGGTGATCACACCTGCTTCAAAAAGGAGCATCGCAGAAGACAGCATAGGGGAAGGACAATGGAGGGAAGTGGAAAGAGCTCCAACGGCTTCGAGTCCAGAAAGGCGAGACCAAGCTTCCGAGAGGCGAGCGTGTTCGGTATGCACGACATCGACAGGCCCGAGCAGACAGCAGAGACCACCAAGAGAGTTGGACAGCTTTCAACCTCAATTGTGCGCCGTGCCAGACCTCGGACGCGAGGTCATCCGGTGCATCGATGAGAATCATGACATTGATATCTGGTCTAGCCTACCCTGTGGTCCTGATCACAGTGGGCCTCAATGCACACAGGCACGGGGCAGCTTGCAGGATGGCAAGGAATAAATCCATGAGGATGTTGGAATCCTTTGTGATGAGGCGGAGAAGGTTTGGAAGAATGGTGAGCCTCCGCATTTTGGTCCGCGACATACACTAGATGGAAGACGAGCAGTTCTGTGCGAGATGATTCGAGAGCTCGAGATGATGGTGGTGAACTTTGACAGCTGCGCAGTTGGCTTAGTGGACAGGACTAGCCAAGAACGTTGCCGATCGTCCTTGCAGATAGTGACCTCACCGTCTCTCCTATCGAGGGAGAGTAGACACGATGTGCGAGGTGCCGGGGCCAATTCCTCATCCAGGTCCAATTCCGCCAGGATTGCAAGGATTGGTTCATGTCTCTTTACACACGGGGGTTTCCAACAAAGCTATACACATCAAAATTCCAAGCTCATTGGTGTGTGTCGCGTGATAAAGCAGTTTCATGTGCACCAACAGCATCAATCTCGCAAAGCATAATCGAAATTTCTATATCAACTTATTGGAGCTTCTTGAGTTGGTGTGAGTTGAGTTGGGTGAGTTCAGTTGGCGTGCACCAACGGCAGCAACCGCGCAGGAGAGGCGGCACACCATGAACATAACACCGTGTTGGTCAATGAAGTTGGAATGTGGGCTCCTTCTATTTCTTTGTCGACCTCTAGCCCATGCTCAAAAATTCAAAACTGCCACAAAAAAGGAACATTGCACTTCCAACCGAGTTTGAGCCTCACAACTCATGAACTCATGATGGTAGCGAATTTTGCGCTTCTTGTCCGAGTGCAGGCCTGACAATCCTGATGTTGACTATCTTATCAACCGAAGTGGTGACCAATGTGGCCACGAAACTGAGGACTTGACTTGAATTTCAGCAGGGAGAAGCTCAGAAACTATATCATTTTATTGACAATCGCACAATTGCAGATGTTTGAATGCACGACTCACACCTGCATACTTTCATTTCTCCGCAGGCGGACAGGTTCCATCACAGCGGAAAGGGCCTTGAGCTCAGAGGCACTTCGCCGGGAAAAGGTCCTTTCAAAAAACCTTACAAGGGAAAGTGTTCCATATTATTCTTGAGATGAGAAGCAACTCCCACAAGACATATCGAACAAACAGCTTGTTTACTTCGCGATTGTTTGGTAAGAATGTCGACTTTCTCGAAGCCTCTTGTCACTTGAAAGGGCTGTGACAGCCCTTCACGCTGTGTGTTAGGGTGAAGCTGAGATGTGGTCACTCCAGTGGAGTTGACCAAGCATCTCCGGAGCTGAACGAACGCTCCCTGATCGCTGCATCTTGGAAGGTGCGTTCATGTTAATCACGAGGTGCGATCCAACCTTGGAAACTCAATCGTCAAGCAGTCAAGCAGTCAAGCACCTGAGAAGCGAGCAATTCTGCATGATTCCAGGCCAGTGACTCTGGCGCTTAGAACAAGAAGGCTGCTCCTTGGCCCTCTTCCTGTGATCGTTTGCATAACTCCGTTCTGCCGCGGATTTGCAGCATCAGTCCTTGCAAATCTTCTCAAAGTACTCATAGATGATAGTCACGGCCTTGAGATTTCATACTACACTCGCTCGCAGGCCCTTTGAAATCAAGCGCGAGTCAGAAAGCTTGGGCATCTGCTAGGAGGATGCCAGTTCCACTGCCTCAGAGACAACTCATGAAGCTTCAATGGGCAAACGCAATGTCAACTCAAGGTCCGGCTAAACAGCCCCTCATCCGAATTCAAGTCGCAAAATGTGCGGTTCTCGGGCTGAAAGGCTGAGGAGTTGCACCAATGGCACCAAGGAAGTCCGCTACGATGGTCAGGGCACCAATGCAAGCACCACCAAAAGCAGCGGCGGTGGGAATGTAGCGGTTGAGTACCTGCATCACAGTTGTCGCTAAGAAGCAAAAACCCAAAAACTGTCTTTGATCAGTGTGTACAAGGGTGATGCCAAATTATGCTTCTGAATAATGTTTTGTGAACAAACTTTCCATCTTCCAATTACCAATTCGAGCTAAAGCAAAAGAAAGTGCAAGAAACCATCCGTGAGGTCTGCAATCTGCCCCTGCCTTGGGCAGGTCAGAATCTCGGTAACCTGCACCATGTTAAAGTGAAATGTGTTTTCTGTTTGTGTTTGTGACACCCTTCTTCTTCGCTCCATGTCAGCCATATGCCATATCACAAGTTGAGAAGAGAGAGAGAGAGAGAGATAGCGACCCAGGACACACCGCGCGGGGCACGCGCTCCGCGCATGAAGCGCCTGGCATCATAAGCTGCTGCTCCCTAAGCTGCCTGGCCACATCGCGGGCTGAAGAGCCCGAAACGTCGATCCAGGCCTCATCGACCGATTCGAAGTCAGACGACGAGCTCTTTACCTTCTTTGCAGTGCGGCACCACCTTTCCACGGATAAAAAGATACAAAAATGACTGAAAGACAGGAGTCAGGCAAGACAATGTCCATCATGTTCATGTGAGATGGATATCTACAAAGAATTCTATGAGTGGAGAAGACATAGAACAGTGGGGGGTCACGGAGCGATTGAGTTCATCGTCCTGTGCCTTCAGCTTCCATCCATGTTCGGTTTAAGCGGTGTTGTTTCAGGGCACCCTTGGATTCCCAATGTGACACAGCTTCTTTGCAGTACAAGGTGCCTTCGAAAAAAGCGCACAAGATACCAAAATGAAAATCACCTCGAGAGGATCACAAGCTTCCAATATCACTCTCTTTGCCGATGGCGAAAAACTCAAAACGGAAGGAGGAAAGAGTCAGCCGCGCTTCGCATGGCGAGGAATAAAGTTTGGCATCTCCTTCCAAGTGGCATAGAAGAGGGCGTGAATTGGATCGTCCCAGACCTCGCCGAAGGAGTGCGGCGGAGAAATGTAGTACCTCAACTCTTCCAACTGTGCGAGCCCAACCGAGGCTTTCAGTGCGTTGAAAGCCTTGCTTTGAAAGCCTTGCTTTGAAAACCTTGCTTTCAGTGAGAATGACACGACGTGCCAGAGTTCTGGAGCGCAAGAGTTCAATAACTCCTTCTGCCTTTCGAGGCCAAGGGACACCAGGCCGCCTACAGGGATGGATTGCCCTGTGATTTCGGTCTCCTGGGGATTTTGCGAATCTCATGGCCAGAAACAGCTGATTTAATCTGCTAACCTTTGCAACAGTCCTGCCATTGTCCAATCATGTTCACGATCATGTTGGCCTTGCAACCAGCGATTCTTGGCTGCAAAAAAAAAGGCGCATGATAAACGCTTTTTGAGGCCTTAAAGCGCTT